TATGCAGGTCAGGAAGCAACAGTTAGAACTGGACATGGAACAACAGGCTGGTTCCAAGTAGGAAAAGGAGTAAGTCAAGGCTGTATATTGTCACCCTGCTTATTTAACTTATATGCAGAGTACATCATGAGAAACACTGGGCTGGATGAAGCCTAAGCTGGAATCAAGATTGCCGGGAGAAATATCAGTAACCTCAGATATGCAGATAACTCCACCTTTATGGCAGAAAGTGAAGAGCTAAAATCCTCTTGATGAAAGTGAAAGAGGAGACTGAAAATGTTGGCTTAAAGCTCAACATTCAGAAAACTAAGATCATGGCATCCGGTCCCATCACTTCATGGCAAATAGATGGGGAAAGAGTGTCAGACTTTATTTTTGGGAGCTCCAAAATCACTGCAGATGGTGATTGCAGCCATGAAATTAAAAGACGCTTACTCCTTGGAAGGAAAGTTATGACCAACCTAGACAGCATATTATAAAGCAGACATTACTTTACCAACAAAGGTCCATCTAGTCAAGGCTATGGTTTTTCCAGCGGTCATGTATGGATGTTAAGAGTTGGACTCTAAAGAAAGCTGAGCACCAAAGAATTGATGCTTTTGAACTGTGGTGTTGGAGAAGACTCTCAAGAGTCTCTTGGCCTGCAAGGAGATCCAACCAGTCCATCCTAAAGGAAATCAGTCCTGGGTGTTCATTTCAAGGACTGATGCTGAAGCTGAAACTCCAATACTTTGGCCACCTGATGCGAACAGCTGACTCATTGGAAAAGACCCTGTAGCTGGGAAAGATCAAGGGCAGGAGGAGAAGGGGATGACAGAGGATGAGATGGTTGAATCACCAACTCAATGGACATGGGTTTTGGTAGGCTCCGGGAGTTGGTGGTGGACAGGGAGGCCTGGTGTGCTACAGTTCATGGGGTTACAAAGAATCAGACATGACTGAGCGACTGAACTGAACTGATTCAAATTACTTCAAACATAATATATATTTTTTAAAACAGAGAGATTGTGGCAAGATTTGAAAGTTAACTGGAAAAATTCCATAGATTTTCAACACAGAGACCATATTTCAGAGGTGAAGTATTTTAGTAGTATCTTCAACATATCATTTAATTTTTTATTCTGTAAAAAAAATAAATGTTACTTATTATTTAAACAAATTTATAGGTCACTGAAGTGAAGTAATAAGAAAAAACCCATCAAATTAGAATTTGTTATACATCGGGAAAACTAATTTTGTATTTGACACTTTATAGTTGGAAAAACATTTCTGTCTCACTGAAGGAAGTTAGCTTTCTGGCCATTTGCTTTAGTCTTCTTGATCAAACAAAGTACAGTAGGAAAGAGAGAGAGTTTCTGCAAAAGAAGAGACACTAAGAGTTCTTAAGTTTACCCAACATACATATTGGTTTGTATTCCAAACATTTGGTTGTATGGTTATAACTTCAAGCTGGAATCACTAAGTAGTTATCACTTATTTCCTATATGAGTGCAGATGGGTATCAAACAAGATAAATACTATTAAAAGAATGAAGCAGTTTGGCTAGTTTAGTAAGTAAGTAAGTAAAGCCACTCAGTCATGTCCGACTCTTGGAAACCCCATAGACTGTAGCCTACCAGGCTCCTCTGTCCATGGGATTTTCCAGGCAAGAGTACTGGAGTGGGTTGCCATTTCCTTCTCCATTGGCTAGTTTAAGGCTATACAAAAATAAAATTACTTATGTCCTCAGTTATACATACATTTATATATAGAACTGAGTAAAAAAGAAAATACAACATATGAAAATTTGAGAGATATAGCTAAAGCAGTGCCAAGACAGAAGTTTATGGTACTAAAAGTTTACATTAGATAAGACAAATGGTCTCAAATCAATAATCTAAGCTCTCATCTCAAGAAAGTAGAAAAGAATAGAGAATAAACATAAAGCAAGCATAAAGATGAGAACAGAAACCAATAAAACTGAAAACAGACAAAAGAAAATCAAAGAAATGAAAAGTGGAGTATATATTCAAAACCAAGTAGGGTGCATTCAAGGTACGGAAGGCTAACTCAAAACATGAACGTGAATACTGATAGCAGAGTTTACTCGTAACAGCCCCAAACTGGAAGTAATCCACATGTCCTAAATAACAACAAATGCATTTCTACACACTCATAAAGAGCAACGTATTTCTAGATAAGACCAAGGAACAAAAGAAATTTTTAAAATACCATTTATAACAGAATGAACAAAATGAAATATTTAGGGATAAATATGACAAAAGATATGCAAGACCTGTACACTGAAACTATAAAATACTGCTGAGAAATATTAAAGACATAAACAAATGGAGAGAAATAGCATACTCATGAGTGGGAAGATTCAATACTGTGAAACAAACTCCAAAGTGATCTATAGTCAATGTAACCAAAATCCCAAGTAGGTTATTTATAAAAATGCACAAGCTGATTCTAAAAGTTACATGGAAATGCAAAAGGTTTAGAATACCCAAAACATATTTGAAAAAGAATAAAGCTAAAGAATTACCAAAACCTGAATTCAGTCTTTTATAAAGCTACAGTAATCAAGACAATGTAGTATTTGCATCAAAATACAAAAACAAATCAACAAAACACATCTGAGAATCCAGAAATAGACCCACACATACATAAACAACTGATTTTTGACACAAGTACAAATTCTTTACAGAAAGGATACTGTGTTTTTGACAAACGCAACTGAAACAACTGGATATCCAAATACCAAAAAGAAATTTCAATTCATACCTCACACCATGTATTAACTTTAACTGAAGATCAAGCATACACCTGAAAACTATAGAACTTTTATAAGAAAACATGGGAAAAGAATCTTTATGATCTTGAGTTAGGTAAAGGTTATTTAAATATAACACCCAAACTATGATTCATAAAAGATAAAAATGGATTAACCAGACTTCATCAAAATTAAAATCTTTTGCTCTTTAAAATTTACCTAAGAGAGAATGAATAGACAAATCACACTGTGCAAATTAAATATCTGATGAAAGACTTGTACACAGAATACATAAAGACTGTTCAAAACTCAGCAATAAGAAAACAAACAACCTAGGCTTACATACAGGCAAAAGGTATGAATAGACACTTAAAACATATTTGGGTGGTAAGTAAGACACTCAGCATCATTAGTCATTAGCGAAATGCAAAGTAAAATTACAGTGAGTTAGCACTACACATCTACAAGAATGGCTAAAATTTAAAACTGACTACATCAGATACAAACAAAACTATGGAGACGCTGGAGCTATAGAATAACCACTTTGCAAAACAGTTTGCAGTTCTTAAGAAGAACTTCTATCTACCATATGAGCCAATCATTCCTCTCCGAAGTACTTAACCTTGAGAAACCCATATGAGCCAATCATTCCTCTCCTAAGTACTTAACCTTGAGAAACGTAAGCACATGTGTCCATATAAAGACTATACACAAATGTTCAGAGCAAGTTTATTTGTATAGTCAAAATTAAGAAGCAACAACCAAAGTCCATCAATAGGCAAACTGATGTATCAACTGCAGTATACCCATAAATAAAATGCTAGCCAACAATTAAAAAAGAATAACATACTGATACATGCAACATGGATGAATCTCAAAATAATTATGGTGAGTGAAAAAAGTTAGGTTAAGAAAAAAGTACACACTATATGATTTCATTAATACAAAACTCTAAAATGGCAAGCTGATCTACATGACAGAAATGAAGTCAGTGGCTGTGGAAAGCGGGGATGGGTCTACTCAAGGGCAGGATACACATTTGTTCACCGTGTTGACTGTGAAGATGCTCTCACAGATGCACACATATCAGAGCTGATGAAATTAGTCTACATATGCTGGATTGTTTTAATATGTTGATTACACCTGAATAGAGCTGTTGAAAACACCAAATGCCTAAACTTTAAAGTCCCTCTGTCTGCACATGTGCACAGCATTGCCAGAACTGTCCTGATCACAAGAACTAGCATTGTACTTCCTCAAGCTTTCATTCCAGCATAAATCATAGCACAGAGCACCATGATGATTCTGGGGCTATGGTTCAGAACATAGGTAACTCGGTGCTACAAACTTTAATCTGGTAGCAGTATTAAACATCCCATCTATGACATTCTATCTATGCAGATGGATCTCGTATAAAACACATATCTCGGTTACCTAAATAGGAAGCACCTAAAGGGTCTCTTGCAGTCTGGAAGAGGACAGGCTCATGAACAGAGGGTGTTGCCACATCAACGGTTGTCCATGCCACACTGTGAGAAGACCCGCAAGCTACTCGTGTGATCTTCTGGCCTTCTAAGCCTTGCACAAGTGTGGGCTTCCTATTAACTGTGGTTGTGCCATTGCCCTGCTGGCCATGGTCATTGTCACCCCAAGCGTATACCTGTTAAAGGGATAAAAAGAATTTTTCAACATTTCGGAACATTCTTTAAATTTACTTCAAACTTCTTGCCAAGTGCTTCCCGGATGGCTCAGCTGGTAAAGAATCCGCCTGCAATGCAGGAGACCTGGGTTCCATCCCTGGGTTGGGAAGATCCCCTGGAGAAGGGAAAGGCTACCCGCTCCAGTATTCTGGCCTGGAGAACTCCATGAACTGTATAGTCCATGGGGTCAGAAAGAGTCAGACATGACTGAGCAACTTTCACTTTCATTTACAATATCAATCCAATGAATTCATCTATATATTGTTCTTAGAAGCAGGAAGTTCTCCTCTTCAACTAAATATTGTAACATTTTTTCCTTAATTTTGCAAAGAGAAAATGATCCAAAACATATGTTCACTTTTCAAAGAATTTTGGCTTTACAGAATTATAAAGTATAATTCATTTTTATTTCATTCTGATTGAAGTACAATATGCCGATTTGTTGTCATAAATAAATTTCAAATTGCATTATCTATGAGCCTGTCACGGGATAGCCTCTTATGGTGGAAGAACAAACAACTCTTATCAAGGATAACTTCAGTTCTAAAATGAAATACACACATTTCCCTATCAGACGTTACAGTGGGAAAGTTCACTACTTTATAACCTGCCTTAGCAAGTCTTTCCTGGGTGCCCTCACCCATGCTGACAGTTAGGCAAATGTACACAGGAACACAGTGGACACAGCCCACCCTTCTGGTTTTCCAAGTACCAAGACTCACTTCATTTTGTCACAAGCTACACTATCAACATAAGATCTTGTCGCAAGCTCCCTTACCTGTCCTGCATCAGTGACCGCCAAGCAGTGCAGGGCCCCAACAGCCACATGCACAATCTTCTTCCCTCGCAGACCTTCCACTACCTGTGGTTTCCGTACATGCACATCCGAGCCATGGCCCAGTCTGAAATAGTCCCCCTTCCCCCTGCAAGGATCAACAGTGAGCATTTTAACACATGATTGTGGTCTGGCAATACCCCACAGCAAAATACTCACTGCCGCAGCACTAGGGCCAGCTCAATAACAACACACACAATGCCCAAGGTCTTGGAAATTATAAAATAGTATGCCATTAATTCAAAATAATTCATTAATTCTGCTAGCAAGATCCTTAATGTGTGTTTTACAGTATTTAAGTTACTGTCGTACATTTCATACAGAGATTGAAAACATGACACACAACCTCAAAGAGCTCTTTAAAGATCTCTTCCCCAAGCTGCCTCTGAGTCATGATGCAAAGACCAAGGCCAGCACACTGTCTGCCCGTGGTCAGCTGGATATTCCACCTCTTTCTGATTTAATAATCTTTCACTAGAAACACACATAAACTTTTTCAGGGATCAAAGAAATCAGAAATCTGTTTTCCACACATGTGATCACTAGGCTCCTGCATGGCAAAAAAAGCAGAAAAAAGCCTCTACATATACTTTATCTAAATAAGACAGACAAGCTAGGCTAAAATTTCTCCAGTGTTCTTTCCTAAACAACCCAGTTATAACTGGAAATTTCTTCTTATAATATTGTCACTAATCCCAACTCAAAATAAATAAAAGGACAAAGATGTCTGGATGAGCAAGAAAATAAAGGCATCCCCCTCCGTTCAAGCCCCTGAACAGACACACTGATGGGTGACAGGCACTTACATACCATGTCCAAACTACACCCGACTTGGTGAGGGCCAGGGAGAACTGTGCTCCACATTCGATCTGGCACACCCCTTGTCCATTAAGTCTCTCAATGTTCTGGGGGATGTTACAGCCTTCACTTCCTCCCCGGCCCAATTTTCCAAAGTCACCATCACCCCAGGAAAATACCAAACCTAGGTTTAAAAATATAGACATCAGGCCAGCATCTCACAACATTCCTCCCCCAAAACGTGGAGTCAGACAGGACTTACCTTCATCAGTCAGAGCCAGGGTCTGTGCATCTCTACTTCCACATGCCACTTGGATTACTCTGTGACCAAGAAGGACTTTCACCTACTCAATTACAAATTTAAAAACAGAATCAAGCACAGGCACGAAGAAAGCAAGGGGAATTTTTCCCCACAGACTGAAAGCCAACACTGCACATATCTTTATGAACTGTCCTAGACTTGGAGCTTATCTTCTCTGGAAATCAGCAGATAGGAGGCTTTCTGTAAGCAACAAAAATATGTATAATCACCATTTTGGGCTTGAGCTGTGTTGTGTTATCCCCATGTCCCAAGCGGCCATACTCTCCAAGACCCCAGGTGTACAGTTCACCGCTGGACGTGAGCGCCGCACTGTGCGAGCTCCCACAGGCAATGTCCCGGATTCGCTTGGTCTTCAGGGCCTCTATCAGCCGTGGCTTGTCACAGTTCCTAAAGCAAGATTAAATAAGATTCCCTATCATCCATCCAGCCTCTTATAAAGAAGAGGGAAAAGGACATCTACACTGATCCACATTTAATCAAAACAGTATCTTTAGATTCACTTAACTATCAAACCTTAGAACATGTGAGGCAAATCACATTCAGAGATATTTTTTAAATGTATTTTTAAGTTTCTTTTGCATAAATAACCCATCCTGTTCAATTTTTTATAAAAATTACCAAAAAGCATTCATTATTATTAACAGTTTCTTATTAGCAAAAATGAAGAAAATATTCTTACATTCTACTGAAGTGTCCAAGTTTGCCATCATCACCTTCACCCCAGGAAAACACTTTGCCATCGACAGTTAAAGCAGTAGCGTGCCGTCCACCTGCAACATTCACATAGATAGAGACTGCCAAAGTTGGCTTAAAAAAAGCTAACAGCATAACTACCTCTTTTGCTTGGCACACTCACAGTATGTGTGAGTATCTGTCAAATGAGTAAATGGGATCAACATTTAAGGATGACAATTATATAAAATAAATTAACATTTCTACAAAGTTTAAGTCCTAGAAAGGATTTCACTTGCAAAGAAGCAGCAAAATAATGCTATTTTTAGCATTATTAAATTTAATGGGGTTTCTATATTAAATATATAAAAGATCAAAATTCAGATGGAAAAAGTAAAACTAAGTTCATTTGCAATTAGACAAATTAGCAAGTGTAGTGGTATTCAGGCTTTTGTGAAATGCACCTTAACAATGAAATTACTAAAGCACAAGTATCATCAACTGCAATTAAGGCATTATGCTCACTCTTCCCAAAACAATCAGCTCACACCCTTTCCTCACCATGGCCCACTCCTTCACTCCATCCATCCCAGCTCAGAACTGAAGAGTTTCCTCTCTGTCACCAGCTCCTAGGATCTGAGACCCACTTACCAACAGAGTCCACATGATCCAAGGCAATGTGCTCACCTAAAACGATGTTTCCCACACTCCCTCGCCCAGACAGGATGGTGACAAAGATTTGACTGACGAGTGAGGCTTCCAGAAAAGCTCTTCGAAGGGGCAGGGTGGGCTGGAGGAAATGCTTATGAGCTGCCTGCAGCTGCGATGGGGATGGACAGTAGCCCAGGGCCTCTCACGGGCGCTGTAGCTGCAGCACTGTCCCTCCCCTTCACCTCCAGACTCACAGAGGAGAAGGGTAAACCACCATCTTGCTCAAGGCACCACTGTTCAGATTTTCTGTTATGTAGGGTTAAATCTAACCCTACTGTATAAATACAAACTCAGTTTGTATCCAATTCGGTTTCATTCCTCAGAAGCCAAGCACGGTGCTTTAAAATAATGCTCTGTATGTTTCCTGAATTGAAGCAGTGTGACTTTTTAAAAAATGATTCTTTCTTATGGCTAGAATTTACAGACACTTAAAATCTGATGAAACTTACAGGCTCTATTCCCAAAAATTAACACATATTTAAGCGCAGAACATGATTACTGCAATCTTTTATGAACCTGACACCCCAGCTCAAAATTAAGAACCCCCTGCTTTGGAGGGGTATGCCCCACATAACCCCTGATCTCCAAAAAGTCCTGTGTAACAAAAATAATTAAACTCTAGACCATCTGAAGTTTTACATTACCCAATTTTTACTTCTAATAATGAGTAGAACTTGATAGAACGCAAGGGCACTCTAGGGGAAACTGTTTGGCCCCAGTGAATTACAGAGCACGAGCAGCAGGCCTGTCTGAGCACAAGTGTCAGTTCTGGCCTGTACCTGAGTGAACAGCCACCTTCTTGACCACGTAACTGCTGAGAGCTGTGATCTGTCGCGGGATGGGCACAGTCCCACTGGAGATGCCCAGCCCCAGCCGGCCATTCGTGGCTTCTCCACAGGCATACACTTTTCCTTCCACTGTCACTGTAAGGAACAGCAGTGAGGAAGGGACTCACTTTTTGTGACACAACAACTATATATTTAGGCTTCAACATCATTTAAAACTTTTATATTACAAGAATAATCATACCTGCAAACAAACTTTTAGAACCACCAGCCACCTGTACTACATTCAAAGCAGACAGGGTCTCAGAGAATGACGGAACTTTTATCTAAAAATTGTTTAAAAAGCAAAAGAAAATTTTATTTACACTTTTAAAATTACAAGTAATCATATTAAATAGTACAAAGAACTTACACGGTTACACTCTCCAAAGAATCTATTGTCTATTACAGATGCATAAGCATTTTAAGAATGAAATGATATACTGTAATTTACTTTAAGTAGGGGTGAGGCTGTGTAGAAAATAAAGACAAAAATGTGACCAGCCACAACTGCTAAAGCTGGTACAGTGACAAAAGGACCAAGTCTCTATTCTATCTACCAGGTAGGTACATCTGAACATCTCCGTAATAAAAGGTGAAAAATAAAATACACATACTGTAAAGATATAAACAAATATTTGGTAAACCATATTTTATTTCAGGTCATGTCCTCATCATTCTCATTAATTCTAACTTCTCTAAGAAACTATTAATATATACTTAAATTTCCTGTTAGAGACAAATGTGATTTAATTTTAAAATTACTAAAGCCCCTGTCTAAAAAGCCCTTAATGATGCTCACATGTCATAAAGTATCAAACAGTCAATGCTACCATGGAAGAAGGACATTCTCCATCACAACGATGAAGCACCAATCTACCTTTCGTGTGCAAACTGCCACAACGTCCATGTGCACAAAGGACCCACTAGACAGCCCACAGTAATAACAGAAGCTCCCAGAGCTCCTAGGCCCCACACGTCTCCAAATGCAGGGCAGCAGCCTCAAAATCATAAGGAGCCCAAGGCCGCTAAACTACATAGGACTCTTTTCATCACACTAGAACCACGGTCTTAAGACAAATGAGCTCTAACTTTCCATTTCAGTGTCTCAACAATGTAAATAACAGGGATCTTATAAGGAGTGAGGTCTCATGAAATGCTAAGTAGTATGTGTGCTAAGCCGCTTCAGTCATGTTCAATTCTCTGTGACCTTATGGACTGAAGCTGCCAAGTTCCTCTGTCCATGGGATGCTCAAGGCAAGAACACTGGAGTGTGCTGCTATGCCTCCCTCCAGGGGATCTTCCCGACCCAGGGATTGAACCCGCATCTCTTGGGTCTCCTGCATTGGCAGGTAGGTTCCTTACCAATAGCACAACCTGAGAAATCCAAAGTAGTAGAGATGTTCAGTCAAAAAGAAACTGTTTCCAGACACTAAGCCTTAGAGGAATCTATTCTGTGGCGCCTTAGTTCAGAGCCACAGGTGAATTCGACTCGAGTTCAAATGCATACCTTGTTGTTCCTACTCTTTAAAATATAATTATATATAGTCTACAATTTTCAGCTCTATGCTTGTCAAATGTTTTCGGAAGTGTATCTTCTAGTTTATAAAACAGCAATAATGCAACTATACCTAACATGCATTGTTTTCCAAGGACAGAGGCATCTTAGAACCTAAAATGATGTCTATGAGTTCATATCAAGAATTACTTACGAAAAGTCTATTTTAAAAACAACATATAAAAGGTATGATGTATGGCAGAAATCAAACCAATATTGTAAAGCAATATTAAACCCTTCAATTAAAAATGAATAAATTTTTTTTAAAAAAGCACATAAAAGGGAAAATCATTATAAAAACTTTAAGAGGCCTGGCTAACTCTGGGCCTGTGTGGGCCCGAGCAGTGCAGGGTGGCAAGCGCACGGGGTGTCGGGCACACACCTTGGAACCCTTCAGACCTCCCAGCTGGTCCTTGTCGTTCAGGCCCCACACAAACACTTTGGTTCTTATTGTAGCTGCTGATTCCAGACCTGCTGCCTTCTTTCTAATAAGGCTAATCAAAGTAAAAAAATAAAACAGAAAGAGGTTAATCACATAACCATGTTTTAAATAAAAAGGAAACCACCTAAAGCACACAGCTTGCTGGTTACCATCAAAACTCTTAAAATGCTGCTGTAACTAAACAAAATCTGACGTGTATACTGAAGTCAGTGGTGCAGAGGGTCAAAATGTCTACAAAGCAGCATACTACCTTTCAGTACTAGAATTCAACTTTAGCTATTCATCCTGGCGGAAATCTTTCTAGGAGTTGTTATTGTTTAGTTGGTAAGTCCTATCTGACTCTCTGCAATCTCATAGACTGTAAAGTCTTCCCTGTCCTTTACTATCTCCCAGAGCTTACTCAAACTCATATCCATTGAGTCAAGAATGCCATCCAACTATCTCATCTATCATCCCCTTTTCATCCTACCTTCAATCTCTCTCAGCATCAGGGTCTTTTCAAATTAGTCAGCTCTTCAGATCAGGTGATCCAAGTACTGCAGCTTCAGTTTCAGCATCAATCCTTCCAATTAATACATACTCAAGGTTGATTTCCTTTAGGATTGACTGGTTTAATCTCCTTGTACTCAAGGGACTGGCAAGAGTCTTCTCCAGCACCACAGTTGGAAAGCATCAATTCTTATGCACTCAGCCTTCTTTATGGTGCAACTTGCACATCTGTACATGACTACTGGAAAAATTATCGCTTTGACTAGATGGACCTTCGTCAGCAAAGCGATGTATCGCGATGTATCTGCTTTTTAATCTGCTGTCTAGGTTTGTTGCTTCTATCTTTTAAATTCATGACTTCAGTCACCATCAGCAGTGATTTTGGAGACCAAGAAAATAAAATCTGTCACTGTTTCCACTTTTCCCTTTCTATTTGCTATGAAGTGATGGAACTTAATGTCATGATCTTTGTTTTTTGAATGCTGAGCTTAAAGCTAGGTTTTCCACTCTCCTTTTTCACCCTCATTAAGAGGCTTTTAAGTTCCTTTTAGCTTTCTGGCCGGAGAAGGCAATGGCAACCCACTCCACTCCCTGGAGAATCCCAGGGATGGGGGAGCCTGGTGGGCTGCCGTCTACGGGGTCGCACAGAGTTGGACACGACTGAAGTGAAACTTAGCAGCTTTCTGGCATTAGAGTGGTATCATCTGCATAGGTGAAATTGCTAACATTTGTCCCAGTAATCTTGATTCTAACTTGTGATTCATCCAGCCCGGTATTTTGCATGATGTACTCTGCATATAAGTTAAATAAGAAGGGTGACAATATATAGCCTTGTCATACTCCTTTTCCAATTCTGAACCAGTCTGCTGTTCCCTGTCTGGTTCTACCTGCTGCTTCTTGACCTGCATAAGTGCTTCTCAAAAGACAGGAAAGATAGTCTGATATCCCCATCTCTTTAAGAATTTTCCAGTTTGTTGTGTATCCACACAGTCAAAGGTTTTAGCATAGTCAATGAAACAGAAGTAAATGTTTGTCTGAAATTTCCTTGCTTTCTCTATAACTCAATGAATGTTGGCAATTTGATCTCTGGGTCCTCTGCCTTTTCTAAACCCAGCTTGTACATCTGAAAGTTCTTGGTTCGCATACTGCTGATGCTTACTTAGCTTTAAGGCTTTTGACCACTACCTTGCTAGCATGTGAAATGCAACTTTATGGTAGTTTGAACATTCTTTGGTGCTGCCCTTCTTTGGGATTCGAATGAAAACTGACCTTTTCCAGTACTGACGCCAGTTCTGAGTTCTCCAAACTTGTGGGCATATTGAGTGGGCACTTTCAAAGCATCATTTTTTAGGATTTAAAATAACTCAGATGGAATTTCATCACTTCCACTAGTTTTGTTCATAGTCATGCTTCCTAAGGTCCACTTGACTTCATACTCCAGGATGTTCAGCTCCAAGTAAGTAAGCACACCACCAGGGTTATCTGGATCATTAAGATCGTTTTTGGATAGTTGTGCATTCTTCCACCTCTTCTTAATCTCTTCTGCTTCTGTTAAGTCTTCACCCTTGCTGTCCTTTATCATGCCCATCCCTGTATGAAATGTTCCCTTGGTTCTGCAATTTTCTCGAAGAGATCTCTAGTCTTTCCCATTCTATTGTTTTCCTCTATTTCTTTACAGGGTTCACTTAAGAAGGCTTTCTTATCTCTCCTTGCTATTCTCTGGCATTCTGCATTCAGTTGGGTATACTTCCATTTCTTGCATGCCTTTCACTTCTATTCTCCGCTATTTGTAAAACCTTCTCAGACAACCACTTTGCCTTCTAGTATTTTTTTCTTTGGGATGGGTTTTGGTCACTGCCTCCTATACAATGTAACAAACCTCCGCCCATAGATCTTCAGGCACTTTGTCTACCAGATCTAATCCCTTGAATCTATTCATCCACTGTCTAATCATAAGGGATTTGATTTAGGTCATACCTGAATGGTCTAGTGGTTTTCCCTACTTTCTTCAATTTAAGCCTGAATTCTGCAATAAGGAACTCATGATCTGAGGCACAATCAGCTCCAGTTCTTGTATCTTGCTAATGGGATATAGCTTCTCCATCTTTGGCTGTAAAGAATATAATCCACCTGATTTTAGTATTGATCATTGGGTGATATCCATATGTAGAGTTGTCTCTTGTTAATGGAAGACGGTGTTTGCTATGACCAGTGTGTTCTCTTGACAAAAGTGTTAGCTTTTGCTCTGCTTCATTTTGTAGGACTTCCCTGGTGGCTCAGATGGTGAGGAATTCACCTGCAATTCAGGAGACCGGGGTTCCATCCCTGGGTTGGAAAGATCCCCTGGAGAAGGGAATGTCTACCCACTCCAGTATTCTTGCCTGGAGAATTTGATTGACAGAAGAGCCTGGTGAGCTAAAGTCCATGGGGTTGCAAAGAGTCAGACGCAACTGAGTGCCTAACACTTTCAGAAATCTCTCCTGTGTTGTTGAAGAGGATGTTTGCTATGACCAGTGTGTTCTCTTGACAAAACTGTTAGCTTTTGCCCTGATTCATTTTGTAGTCCAAGGGCATACTCCAGGTATTTCTTGACTTCCTAATTTTGCATTCCAATCTTTTATGATTATATTTTTTGGTGTTAGTTCTAGAAAGCATTTTAGGTCTTCACAGAACCAGTCAACTTTGGCATCAGTGGTTGGAGCACAGACTTGGATTACTGTGATATTGAATGGTTTTGCCTTGGAAGTGAACCAAGATCATTTTGTTGATTTGGAGATTGTACCCAAGTACAATCAGACTCTTATTTACCATGAGGGCTACTCCAGTTCTAAGGGATTCTTGCCCACATTAGTATGTATAATGGTTACCTGAATTGAATTTGCCCATTCCCATTTATTTTATTTTACAGATTCTTAAGATGGCGATGTTCACTCTTGCCATCTCCTGTTTGACCACTTCTAATTTGCCTTGATTCATGGACCTAACATTCCAGGTTCCCATGCAATATTGTTCTTTACAACATTGGACTTTACTTTCACCACCAGACACATCCACAACTGAAAGTCTGTTCTGCTTTGGCCCAGTCTCTTCCTTCTTCCTGGAACTGTTTCTCCGCTCTTCCCCAGCAACACAGTGGGCACCTTCTGACCTGGGGGTCTCATCTTCTGTTGTCATATCTTTTTGCCTTTCATCCTGTTCATGCAGTTCTCAAAGCAAGAATACTGGAAGGGTTTTCCATTCCCTCCTCCAGTGGACCATGTTTTGTCAGAACTCTCTGCTATGACCCGTTTGTCTTGAGAGGTCCTGCATGGCATGGCTCTTAGCTTCACTGAGTGATGGATGTACACCCCTTAGCTAGGACAAGGCTATGATCCATGAAGGGGCTTCCTATGAGACACTAGGAACTTGGAGACACTGTCTAATTTTTCTTTTACATCAAGCTGACCGTGACAGCTTTTACAGCAATTACCACCCATCACCTTAACATAGCTACTACAGATGTAACTGGAAAGAATGCTGGTTAAATGGCTTTAAGAATCACCACCAGGACTGGCACTGTGGCCATGTCCCTAAAGCCAGACCTCTGTTCGGTCATATGTTTTCCCAAAAGAAATACTAAAATGGATAAAGTCATATGACCCTCGACGTGCTCTAACACAAGCACACGTCCCAAGGCAAAGTGCAATTTTCCTCCTCTACACCCTCTGTCCATCGCACTGGTCCGCTGTGCTGGAAGTCCCAACCTCCATTCTACCAGGGGAGGCCTGCCGCAAAACCCAGGGCTCCTGAAGCACAAGCAGCTGGCTCCTGCCACCTCACTCATCCTGTCTTCTGACCTGCCCTCAACAAGTTAAAAGTTTGAGCAACAAAGCCCACAAATTCTTCAAAATAAAATGAAAATAAAATTGAAAGAAATAATAAAAAATAAGTATAACGGCAAAACCAGCAAGTGATGTCATGAGTTAGGTGTTAACTATACTGTTGAAAAAAACTTAAAAATGGATATTGCTATTTCCAATTTGTTGTATGTCAGTGTTAACTATACTGTTAAAACTTAAGAAAAATGAATATTGTTACTTCCAATTTGTTGTACATCATAATTCAGTTCAGTTCAGCTTAACTCAGTCGCTCAGTCGTGTCCGACTCTTTGCGACCCCATGAACCGCAGTACACCAGGCATCCCTGTCCATCACCAACTCCCGGAGCCTGCTCAAACCCATGTCCATCAAGACAGTGATGCCATCCAGCCATCTCATCCTCTGTCGTCCCCTTCTCCTCCTGCCCCCAATCTTTCCCAGCATCAGGGTCTTTTCAAATGAGTCAGCTCTTCGCATCAGGTGGCAAAGTCTTGGAGTTTCAGCTTCAANCAAGAGGCAGGTCACGTGGTCTGGTATTCCCATCTCTTTCAGAACTTTCCACAGTTTATTGTGATCCACAAAGTCAAAGGCTTTGGCATAGTCAATAAATATAAATATAAATCATAAATAGACTGAGTCAATTAAAAAAACTATACAACAGAAGAAAAAGGATACATATATTCTAAAAATGGTTGCTGCTCCTAGCTGTCAAATAATATAAATGTATTTAACGCCACTTAACAATACACTTAACAACTGGTTAAAATGGTAAGTCTTATGTATATTCTATTATAATGAAAACTTTCAATTTACATGTTAACAATAAAATACTTAACAAAAAAGGCTTTAAAATATATACTACCACATACTATCTCCACAGGAAAACACAATTAGGGACAAATAAAGAATAAAACTATAAGAATATACACCAAAATATTAACAGCAATATTTGAGGCAGAAAATTAAACATTTTTATTTTTCCTTTTAAACAAATTTTTCTAAATACAGTGTTTCCATAGTAAATTTTTCCTAAAATTAAATTAAAATTTCAGAAAACTTAACTAATATTTACCAAATAGTCCTATGAGCAATAATATAATACATATAGTGTATATAATACATATATACTATATAATACATATAGACTGTAGTACAATAATCCTAATGTATTCTCATTATGGGATACACTCTAATTAAATATTGGCTTTTGAAAGTGAGAGTGTGGACATAAGCAAACAGCTCTCACCTCCCACTGTTGCCTTTTTCATCTTCTTCTTCTTCATTATCTGAAGCTAAGAAAGGAACTGCAGCCAAATCTTCCTCCTCTGCACGTATCCGTCCCAGCAGGATGAGACCATGGATTTTACAATCAATTCCTGAGCTTCTGCACTGCTTTATCGCAATTTCAATATACCTGTGATACTGGAAGCAAACACAGCAAGCTGCAGAGCTCTCAGAGCCAAACACTTTAACTAGAGAGAAGGACACATGAGATACACAGTACGTGGCAAGTCGCAAGCCTTCGTAACGCTTAAAGTATAGAGAATCTGAGATCAACATGCACACACTGCTATATTTAAAACAGATAACCAAAAATAAATAAATAAATAAATAAAACAGATAACCAAAGGACCTACTGTATAGCACAGAGAACACAGATCAATGTTATGTGGTAGCCTGGATAGCAGGGGAATTTGAGGGAGAATGGATACATTATATGTGTGGCTAAGTCACTCTGCTACTTACCTGAAACTATCATAACATTGTTAAGCAGCTACACTTCAATATAAAATAAACCGTTTTAAAAAAAAAAATTGATTACATACAAATTAGAAAAAACTATACACAGACCTCGTAACCCCACAACTAGATCAACAATTATCAATGTATGATTGATTTTGTTCATGTAGGGATTATCATAAGAAAATTCCTGACAACGTGTTGTTTCAAAACTTCAGTAGGTATCAGCGAAATATCAGCATTTAAAAAATACATCCACAGTACTCTTATGATAGCTAAAACAATAATCTTATGTCATCTAAGTGCTACCAGTGATCAAATTTTCTGTCTTGGAAACACCTTTCTATTCTGGACTTGTTCAAATGAAGGTCAAACTCTGTTATGTCTTTGCCATTCGTTATTTTACTGTTGGCCTTCTGTCCTGCGGTACGTCCCACATCCCATACATGGCATTTCTAAATGTAGTTTATTTTTCTGCCCCTGTATTTCACTGAACAAAGACTGACTGCTTCAAGGGGATCTAACCAAACCTTAAGATCTATAATATCTATGATGTCACAGGAAGAACAGTTTGAATAAAAGAAACAAATAGAGAAATGAAAACTTTTACAGGAAAAAAAAAAGTTTCTTTATTTAGCAAGGAAAAAACAAAAGGGTTAAGATTTTAATGCAGTGCCAAAGGCAGACACTGTCTGACTCACAAATCATAAAAAGCAAATGCAAAGAACATTTATGGGATAATTGGGAAAATTTAACATTGACTGGATTTTGTATCACATTAAGGACAAAATTTTAGGTGTGATGGCATTGTGGTTACATTTTTAAAGTCCTTGTCAGAAATTAATAATTGAAGTACTCACTACTGAAATAATGCCATGGCTAGAACTTGCTTTAAAACACTCAAAAAAAAATGGGAAGGAAGGAATAGAGTTAGTGAAATGACTAGCAAAAATGTTGATAATCATTAAAACTGGGTGGTAGGTTCATGGAGGATTCAGGATACTTTCTATTTTCGGTTATGTTAGGAAAATTCTGTTAACAAGCCATTTTTAGAAGAAAGGCAGTGCTAGAGAGTTCAATAGCTTTAGGAATGATAATGCTCTACTTTGTAAGTTGGTTGGATGGGTGGAGACTGGGCCATGAATTTTCTGAGTACTCACAATGCTTAATATTTCTCATATATGTGATATAAGCTATTTCGTGCTCATCAAATAATACATAATAAATTGTTTTCAACTGAAAATTTGTTAAAGTCAATATATCTTTTATGAAAAACAATATCAGTTTTTTATTAAATAAATTAATCCTTGGTTATTGATCTACTTACAAATGTAAAATACAAAGCAAATTAAATACAAAGCAAAATTAAAACAGAAAATATTCAGTAGCATAATTCAGACATAAGACAAACTGCATTTTCCATTACCCAGGAATAAGTTATTATAATAAAAGTCACTAAATGCATTATCTTTTCTCAAAAAAACTTAATAATATATTACATTTTCATCATTGGTCACTTTATTATTACCACCATTGACAGTAACTGTTAATTACACAGTATTCCACAAAATAGTTTAATGACATTCATGAATGAATGGTGTTCTACAATTTTATTCATTGAAGACTGGAAGAAAATAAACAAACAAAAAAATCTTCCAGTGTACACAAAGGCCAAATAATCAACTCTTGGACCTGGGGGGGGGCAGTGCTAGTATGGTCCCATAGTCTCTAGACATATTACCAACTTTCCACCCTTAAAAAAAATTAATCTATGACTGGCTGTGTATCAGGTTCTTTGATGTAACACAGTACGACCCCGTGAAACTTGTCTGTCCTTATGTGGGCATGTGTGTTAGTTGCTCAGTTGTGTCTGACTTTGTGACTCATGGACTATAGCCCACCAGGCTCCTCTGTCTATGGAATTCTCCAGGGAAGAATAATGCAGTATGTTGCCATTCCCTTCTCCCGGAGATCCTCCTGACATAAGGATTGAACCCTGGTCTCCCACACAGCAGGGAGATTCTCTACCATCTGAGCTTCTTGGGAAGCCCTTTGTGGGAATACCAAAATAATAAAGCAATGACTGACAAACAGCACTTAATAATTTAAAAATAAACTCACTTATGATGAACTTTGGATGAACAGAAAGTCAAATATTTGACATCTTTATCCATTATCATACCAATTAAATAAGTTCTCATGAGACAACGTACTTATAGGTAGTAAAAAAAAAATTGCCTTATTTTGCATTTTTTAAATATATATAATTTACTAAAATAGTGTAGATTTACTGAAAGATTTATGTGGCAGTGTCACTAATCTATAATATGTTCTATTTAAAAGAACTTTCACTGATTCTTTCAGAATTTTTAAGAGATAAAATTAACTTGGATTCATTTTGAAAATGTCCTTATTACCAAATTAAAGGTATGAAAACAAAAAAAGACAATTTCAGTGTCATATATATGGTTAAAAAGAACCACTGCTTACTAATACACATTTAATGGAAATAACATGATGCTAGATGCCCAAAGAAGCCCAAGGTGTATGGCAATGACTTTTGCCTAGAGCTTTTTACTTGCTTTTAACCAAAGACAGTGAGGAAGGAATTTGTTTTGTTTTCTTTTCAAGCTGATCTGGTAAGCAACAAATTCAAGTTGTACACATGTCAAATTTTAAAATAAATAAAATTATTTAATCAAGGGGAGAAAATGGGCTCAATGTTACTATAGAGATGATGAGAAAAGAAACCTCTCTTGCCATTTGCAAACCATCAAAGGAATACTATCAGAATGGTCAAGATGGCAGAGCAGAAGAACCCTTAGCTTGTCTCTTCTCACAAGCACAACAAAATCACAACCATCTGCAAAAGAACTATCACGGCCAGACTGAAACCACCAGGAAAGGTCCTCTGAAGATGGACCACAACAAGAATGGTAGACGGTGTGAACTCATGATAGAATCAAACCCCAAACCCTCCAGGGTTGGCGACCCACAAACTGGAGAACAATTATATTCAAGAGTTTTTCTCATGTCACTCTCCCGAGCCTGCAGGTCGGGCACAGGGAAGAGGAACCTTAAAAACATTTGTCCTTGAAGACCAGAGGGGCTTCACTAGATGAGCTCTAGAGGCAGGACTGGGGGGAAAAGATCCTCACTCATAAAGGGTGCCTGCAAAACCTCACATGTGCTCGGACTAAGAGCAAAAGCAGTAATCTCATAGGTGCTAGGGCCACATCTACCTGCTGGTCTTAGAGGGTCTCCCCAAAGGGGAGGCAGGGGGTGGCTGTGGCCCTGCCTGCGGGTGCAGACAATGGTGGCAGATATACTGGGGAAATACTCAGCTGCATGAGCTATCATGGAGGATAACACCCTGACACCAAGACCTGGCTTCAAACACCAGACTTTAGACTCCAGTGCTGCAAGGCCTCAGCCCAAACAACAAACAAGGTGGGGACACGGCCCTACCCATCGACTTCAACTGACTCTAGACAAGGCCCTGCCCACCAGAGGATCAAGACCCAACTTCACCTACCAGAGGATAGGCACCAGCCCCTCCCACAAGGAATTTCACCTATCTAAAAAATATCAACAACTTCAGATATGCAGATGATACCACTCTAATGGCAGAAACTGAAGAGGAGTTAAAGAGCCTCTTGATGAGGGTGAAAGAGGAGAGTGAAAAAGCTGGCTTAAAACTCAACATTCAAAAAACAAGGATCATGGCACCCAGTCCCATCACATCATCACAAATAGATGGGGACAAAATAGAAACAGTGACAGATTTTATATCACTGCAGATGGTGCTCCAAAATCACTGCAGATGGTGACCACAGCCACAAAATTAAAAGACACTTGCTTCTTGGAAGAAAAGCTATGACAAACCTAGACAGCGTATTAAAAAGCAGAGATATCATTTTGGTCCACAGAGTCAAAGCTATGGTTTTTCCAGTAGTAATGTATGGATGTGAGAATTGGACCGCAAAGAAGGCTGAACACCCAAGAACTGATGCTTGCAAATTGTGGTGCCAGACAACACTCTTTAGAGTCCCTTGGAGTACAAGGAGATCAAACCAGTCAATCCTAAAGGAAATCAATCCTGATATACACTGGAAGGACTGCTGCTGAAGCTCAAATACTTTGGCCACCTGATGTGAAGAGCCAACTCATTGGAAAAGACCCTGATGCTGGAAAAGACTGAAGGCAGGAGGAGAAGGCATTAACAGAGGGTCAGATCGTTGGATGGCATCACTGATGCAATGGACATGAGTTTAAGCAAATTCCGGGAGACAGTAAAGGACAGGAAAGTCTGGGGTGCTGCAGTTCATTGGGTCACAAAGAATTGGAAACAACTTAGCAAATGAACAATAACAACACCCACCAGAAACAAGAAAACTATTAATCCTGCAGCCAGCACATCAAGTCTGTAAATGCAGACCAGGTCCAATCCTGAGACCAGAAGGCCCCTGGCACTTCCTTGGGTGATGAAAAGGAGGTGCACTGCTGGACTGCACAGGACGTCTCTTACAGAGGGCCACTTCTCCAAGGCTGAGAAACAGAACAAATGGGCTTCCCTGGTGGCTCAGAGGTTAAAGTGTCTGCCTGCAATGCGGGAGACCTGGGTTCGATCCCTGGGTTGGGAAGATTCCCTGGAGAAGGAAATGGCAACCCACTCCAGTATTCTTGCCTGGAGAATCCCATGGATGGAGGAGCCTGGTGGGCTACAGTCCACAGGGTCACAAAAAGAGTCGGACACGAGTGAGTGACTTCACTTTCACTTTCTTTCACCACATTCACAAAAACACAAGAAGCAATTTTGACAAACTCAAACAACAGAATATGCTTCAGATGAAGGAGCAGGATAAAACACCAGAAAGAAAACAAAGTGATGTGGCAGATTCTCAGGCAATCTACCAGGGAAACAGTTCAGAGTAATTATGGTAAAGATGATCAAAGAACTCAGGAAGAGCATGGATACATAGAGAGAGAAATTAGAAACATTTTAAGAAAAAAATAGAAAATATACAGAACCACACAATTAATAAATAAGTGAAATGAACAATACATTAGAAGGAATGAATAGTAAACTAAATCTGACAGAAGAATGGATTCATGAGCTGGAAGACAGAATAGTGTAAATCACCACCACCAAACAGAAAAAAAGAACTAAAAGAAATAAGGGCAGTTTAAGAGATCTTTAGGGCAATATCAAGCACACAGTCACATTATAAAGGTCCAAGAAGAAAAGAAAAAGTGTTTGATAAAATATTTGAGGAGATAATAGCAGAAAACTTCCCTAACTTGAGAAAGGAAAAGTCAACCAAGTCCAGGAGGTGCAGAGAGTCCCATAAAGGATTAACCTACAGAGGAATATGTGAGGACATATTGTAAACTAAATGGAAAAAAATGAACAAAAAGAGAGAATATTAAAACTAACAGAGGAAAAGTAAAAAATAACATACAAGGGATCTCCAATAATGGTATTATCGGATTTTTTTTGAGGAAAAACTCTGCAGACCAGAAGAGACTGACATAACATACTTGAAATGATGAAAAAGAAAAACCTACACCCAAGAATACCCAACAAAAGCTCACACCGAAATTTGATGGTGAAAACAAAAGCTTTACAGACAAGTAAACATTTTTTAAGAACTCAGAAACACCAAACAAGCTTTATGACAAACTCTAAAGGAACTTCTCTAGGTGGAAAAAAAAAGGCCACAACCAGAAACAAGACAGGAAATCATCCATACATAAAGCCAGTAGGGAAATTAAAAGACAAAAGTAGTAAAAATCCCACATTAAGTGTTTAAGATTATACAAAATAATTAGATGTGAGGCATGAATTGAAAAACAATGACCATAAGGGGGGTAGAGTACAAATGCATGGTATCTAAAATGTATTTAAAATTAAGAGATAAGCAACTTAAAATAAGCACATATATAACTAGACTGTTGTACAAAAAACTCACATTAACCAGAACACAAAAATCTATAATAGAAATACACACAAAAAAGGAAATGAAATGCAAACTTACACTAAAGGTAGTCAAGTTACAAGAGAAGAGAACAAAGGAGAAAGGGAGAAAAAAAGACCTATGAAAACAAACTCAAAACAGCAAAATGACAATATAAACATACATATGGATAAACACGCTAAATATAAATGGACTGCTGCTGCTGCTGCTAAGTCACTTCAGTCGTGTCCGACTCTGTGTGACCCCACAGAGAGCAGCCCACCAAGCTCACCGTCCCTGGGATTCTCCAGGCAAGAACACTGGAGTGGGTTGCCATTTCCTTCTCCAATGCATGAAAGTGAAAAGTGAAAGTGAAGTCGTTCCGTCCTGTCCGACTCTTCATGACCCCAGGGACTGCAACCCAGCAGGCTCCTCCGTCCATTAGATTTTCCAGGCAAGAGTACTGGGGTGGGTTGCCATTGCCTTCTCTGTGTAGATGGACTACATGTATCCAAAGATGTTACCAGGAAACTACCTAGAGCTTGTCAATGAATTCAGTAAATTTGCAGAATACAAAATTAATACACAAAAATCTGTTGCATTTCTATACACTAACAATTAAAGATCAGAAAGAGAAATTAAGGAAACAATCCCCTTAATCATCACATCAAAAAGTATAAAATAACTAGGACTAAACCTACCTAAGGAGGCAAAAAACTTGCATTTCAAAAATTTTAGACACTAATGAAGGAAAAAGAAAACAATACAAACACATGGAAAGATAGACCTTGTCCTTGGATTAGAAGAACTGATATTATGAAAATGACTACACTATCCCAGGCAATTTATAGATTCAATGCAATTCCTATCAAGTTACCAGTGGCATTTTTCACAGAACAAGAAGAAAAAAATTTTTTAATTATTTATGGAGACACAAAGTACCCCCAAAAGCCAAAGTGCTCTTTGAGAAAGACATATAGAGCTGGAGGAAATCAGGCTCCTGACTTCAGGCTATACTACAAAGCTACAGTCGTCAAAACAGTATGGAAATGTCACAAAGTCAGAAATATAGATCAACAGAATGAAAGCCCAGAAATAAACACATACATCTATAGTCAATCAATCTACAACAAATGAGGCAAGACCATACAATGGAGAAAAGATGGTTTCTTCAATAAATGGTGCTGGGAAAGCTAGACAGTTATATGTAAATGAAAGAAATTAGAACACTCCCTAATACTATACACAAAAATAAACTCAAAATGGATTAAAGACCTAAATGGAATACCAGATACTATAAAACTCTTACAGGTAAAAATAGGCAGAATACTCTTTGACATAAGTAGCAGCAAGATCCTCTTTGACCTACCTTCCAGAGTTATGGAAATAGGAACAACAATAAACAAATGGAACCTAATTAAACTTAAAGCTTTTGCACAGCAAAGGAAACTATAAACAAGAAGAAATGAATGAAGAAAACAACTGCAAACAAAGCAACTGACAAAGGATTAATCTCCAAAGTATACAAAGTAGGTCATGAACAACCAAATCAAAAAATTGGCAGAAGACCTAAACAGACACTTCTCCAAATAAGACGTATAGATGGCCAACAGGCACATGAAAAGATGATCAATTATTAGACAAATGCAAAAGAAAACTATAATGATGTATCACTTCATTAACAGTCATAATGGACATCATCAAAAAGTCTACAAATAATAAATGCAGGAAAAAAATATAATAAATGCAGAAGAGGGTGTGGAGAAAAGGGATCCCTCCTGCACAGTTGGTAGGAATGTAAATTGGTACAGTCACCAAGGAGAACAGTACAGAGGTTCCTTAGAAAACCAAAAATAAAGTTGTCATATGATCCAGCAATCCCACTGCTAAGCATATATCTGAAAAGAACTCTAATTCTAAAGATACATACACCTCAATGTTCATAGCAGCACTAGTTACAAAGGCTAAAACATGGAGGCAACCTAAATTTCCATCAACAGAAAGGTAAAAAATATGTGGTACCTATATACAATGAACTATTACTCTGCCATTAAAAAAAAGAAGAATGAAATAATACCATTTGCAGTACCATGGATGAACACAGAGATTTCATATTAAGTCAGTCAGACAGAAAAAAGCAAATATCACATGAAATCATTTATCTGTGAAATCTAACAAAATGATACAAATGAACTTACTTACAAAACAGAAAGATACTCAGAAAACAAATTCATGATTACAAAAGGGGACAAGGGTGGGGGACAGGGGTTAGGAGTTTGGGATTAATCTCTACATATTACTGTATAGGCAGAAAGAGAAGAGGGCAAAAGAGGAAGGATGAGATGGTTGGATGGCATCACTAATTCAATGAATATGAACTTGGGAAAACTCCGAGAGATGGTGAGGGACAGGGAGGCCTGGCATGCTGCAGTCCATGGGGTCATAAAGAGTTGGACACAACTTGGCAAGTGAACAACATTACTATACATAAAATACATAAACAGTAAGAACCTACTGCATAGCACAGGGAACTGTATTCAATATCTTGTAAGAATCTTTAATGGAAAAGAATTTGAAAAAGAACACACACACGAACACACACACACACACTATATATACATATATATATATAAATAATGTAAACACACAGTATTCTTGAGCTTCCCTTGCTGCTCAGCTGGTAAAGAATCTGCCTGCAATGCGGGAGGCTTGGGTTCGATTCCTGGGTTGGGACGATCCCCTGGAGAAGGGAAAGGCTACCGACTCCAGTATTCTGGCCATGGAGAAGTCCATGGGGTCACAAAGAGTCAAACACAACTGAGCAACTTTTCCACACACACACGTATGTATAACTGAATCACTTAGCAACTGAAAACACTGTAAATGAACTATATATCAATAAAAAATTTATATAATTATACCTTTAAAAAGAGACACTATCTAATCTACTCACCTCTGTGCAGTCATTCAGAAGAGACACTGTGGTGTCGGTGGGATTGATGTTGATTGTCTTTAATTCAATTAGGTTATTCAGTGAATTTCCACCTAGGAAATAAAGGGGCAGAGGCATAAAGGAATCAGACAAAGGAGTTTTCGTTATATAATAGATACTTTCTGAGTAAAGTAACTCAGTTACCTGACACGACCACGAGGGAAGGCATGTAGCTACTGTCAGCAGGATCTACAATCATTTTTAATCTATGAACAAGAACATCTGGGAAAATCTCCAAACGAATCCAATGCTTTAAAAGAAAAAGAAACACGTATTCTACTCCATTACTTGCTTATTAGAAGAAAGCCTCCCTCTATGCCCCAGAAATGATGCGTTTATAGCCTTTTGACCTAAGGTGGTCCACTAATATCCATCAATGGGTGGGTCACAGAAAACATCAGAATCAAAGCAGAGGAAAAGCACCGTTCTCCAAGCCTAACCTTCATGACTGGATGAGGCACACCCACACATAAGTGCAATTAAAATAACATTCTAAAGATAAACATATATTTATTAGGGTATATTAGAAAATCTTCTAACAAGAAGCAGAATCTGAACTCATACATTTTATGTGGGGGAGTAAAACAAAACAAAGCCCTATTAAACTGTCTATCAGTTAGATAAAATCTATCACTTATATTTTTTAAAATCTCTGACAATGAAAACTAGATGGCATATTACTCTGTACCTTTAAAATAATTATGAACTAAAATATAAAATGAGTACTGACAGGTGACATCCCAGTATACCTTCATAGGATTTTCAAAGTTTGTGTTCAAACTCTAAAACATCACACATCTAAACAAAAGTGTTTCTGGACGTGGCCTCCCGGCCTACTACCTTTCCTTGTGAACCAGAGGACTGCCAGCAGGGCTCACTGCCATCAATAAGACGAGAAGCTTGGTTCACAGAGGACGACACGTTTAGACTCTTCACCATCCGTGCCCAGCTATCCAGCAGCATTCCTGGCTGACTGCTGTGACAGCGTTTCAGCTGTTTTCCAGAACGGCCACAAAATATTGCAGACTGTCCTATTTAATGATGGCAAAACGGTGTTAATACTTGTAGAACAGAAACTTCACAACCAAGAAATAAAGAATATTGCATAGTTGAGTTCCTTACTTCAAGAAAACAGTAAGTTTTCAAATTAGAAGGAACTATTACATAATACTTAAACAGCTTCAAAAAACGTAGCCAAGGTATTTTATCCCGATTTATGAGATGAAGTTCGTATAATGCTATGATTTATTCCACTTGACTCCCTCAAGTAACAACAGAGTGACAGATCTCCAGACAGAAGGATGTATATAAGCGGGGTATGAAGTTCAGCAATTGTGCTCACAGAAGACATTCTTTAAAAAGTTTTCATAAATGCAACAAAAACAAACTTGAAGAGTTTCTACTTCCATAAATGGCAAATCTGGAAATTGATCCAGCTCTTCCATTGAGGACAAGGAGAAGAGGCAGACAAAACATTTAAAGATGAATAAATCTTGAAAATATCAGAGTAAACAAGCTGATAAAGAATTGTGGGGCCAGAATCAGAGGAAGGCTAAGATGAAAAGTGTCAGAATGAGCTGCCCTGTGGATCAAAATACACTTTTCCCCAGTGGTATTTGTCAATTTCTAGCGGGAGCCTTAAACAGGACACACAGCACAGCCCATCAGGAAAGAAGAGACGCAAAGACAAGCTCACACCTGGGCTGGGGTCTCAATGGGAAGAGCCACAGAGGGAGAGAAGAGTCAACTCTGCAAGCCCATCTGTTTCCAGACTGCAGCTCTGCATGAAATCATCTCAGTCAATGAGACTGGACTGAGGTGAGCCCAGATGTCAATATTTACTTACACCAATTACCTAGGATTCCCAAATGGCACTAGTGGTAAAGAACCTGGCTGCCCACAAAGGAGATGTGAGAGAGGGGTTCGATCCCTGGGTGTCAGGAAGACCCCCTGATCCCCGAGGAGGGCATGGCAACCCCCACCAGTATTCTTGCCTGAAGAATCCCATGGACAGAGGACCTGGCAGACTACGTCAACAGGGCTGCAAAAACGTCTGACTCAACTGACGTGACTTAGCACATACACATGCACCAATTACCTAGAAGATCAACCCTCTCTCCCTCAATCTCTGGAGAAAAGTAGCATCTCAGGCCTCAAATTGATTCAAGAAGTAACTTTTGTTACCACAATGTCCAGTACATGATGGAAAATGAGGAGACAAGAAAACATGACTACAAACCTATGACAAATGACAGACAATAGAGAGAGAGACTCACAGAGGATCCAGATAGAATTATAAAGTACAAATTTTATAATAACTATACTTAGTATGTTTGAAAAGACACTGAATATTTCATCAGAGAATTTAAAATTATTCTTAAAAAGATTAGAACTGTTTAATATGGCAATTAAAATAAAAAACTCAATGAATAGGTTTACCAGCAGACTAGACTCATATGAAAAGAGAACTAGCAAAAATTATCTAGAATGAAGAACTGAAGAGCAAAAGTTTAGAAAACAAAAATGATGTGAAAAATTTAACAAAGAGAAATAAGATCTGTCTTATCAGAAAGAAGAGTCTCAAAAAAGAAGGAAAAGAAGAGAGGGCATAGATTAATATTAGAAAAAATACTGGATGATGGGAAATTGTCCAAAACAAACAAAACATATCAAAGCACAGATTTTAAAAGCCCTACTTTGAAAGTTGGAAAAATAAACCTTAAATTTTTTTACCACACACACCAAAAAAAGGGTAGTTATGTGAAGTGACAGATGTGTTAACTAGCCTTGCTGCAGTAATCGTTTTGCGGTACATGTGTCCAAATCACCTCACTGAACACTCTATACTGACACAATGTCCTATGTCAATTATAGCTCAAAAAAGCTGGAGAATTAATTAATCACAAGCATTACTAACTGCAAGAAAGATAAACACAAAATATATATATATGTGCATATGTAAGATTTGTGTAAGATAAAAACAAGAGTATCTCAAAAGCAGATTAAGGGGAAATACAAAGAATAAATTAGCTTTAAGGGAATAATAACTAAACTGACTTCAGCTGAAATAATATAAACCTAATTACAATGGAATAGTATTTTTAAAGTGCTAAAAGTCCCAGAAAAAATATTTTTTTTAAATAAAGAAGAAATAAAGACACACAAAAACAGAGTTCATAATCATAGAGATAAATTAAATAAAATATTAAGGGCTATTCTTCAGGCAGGACAAAAATAATGACAGATGAAAAATGAAACATACAGAAAGGAATAGAGAAAAACTATGGTCCATGGGGTTGCAAAGAGTTGGATACAACTTAGTGACTAAACAACAACAAATATTACGTATGTGAAAAAAAATTCAACAAACACCGACCACAAAAAATAACAATCCTATGTCTTATATTGTTTAAGATGTATGTGTGAAATTTTTAAACACAGTAATAAAAAACATGGTAATTTAAATCAGAATGATGGTTAATTAAGTTAAAGGAACCTCAGATCCTTGCACTGCTTAGGAGGAGGATAAAAATACTAAATAATGATTAGGTTTATAAGACAAAAAAGATATCATAATATCTTTAGTAACTACTAATACCAAAAATGTATATAATATACACTACTCTTATAGTACATGAATATACACCAAAATTTAACTTCTAAGTCAGTGAGCATGTGTTGGTGCAGGGTGGTGGGGGGTGGGGTGGTTGGTTAAACAACACAGAATTTATAAGTCCAAAGGAAGATGGAACGGGAAAAAAAAGGGAACAGAAGACGGACGGGACAGCAACAACAAAAAAGGACTGAAAAGCTGATTAATTTACAAATATATGTTTCAGCAACTGCCTTAAACATAAATAAATACCTAAATGATCAAAATAAGAGACAAATACCATCACATTGGAATTTTTTTAAAAACTGCCAACAAGATTACACAAAGACTGAGGGCAAAAGGCTACAAAAAGATACACTGAGCAAACACTAACTTCAGCACAGAACCGCAAAAGACCTTTTTTCAGACATGCATAAAACATGTGTAAACTCCCATGAAATGCCAAGTCCTATGACTAAACAAAAGTTTCCCCCAAAATGTCAAAGATTAATCAGGATACACATCTGAATACAAAGCAGAAACTAGTAAAAAGATACAGGTAGAAAATGCTGACATCTTTGAAACTTAAAATCAATAAATACAAGAAAATAATTCCAATGGAATTTTAAGGACATTTTTAAAAGATGATGAAATATTACTACCTATCAGTATTATAAGATACAGCTTATGCTTAAACATAAATTAAATATTTTAAGTTCAAATATCATAAAAGATAAAAGTGAGAAATTAATGAACTAAGCATTCAGAGGGGAGAGGGGAAATCAACCTAAACCTAAATTCTATAGGAAAAAGAAATGATAAAGATCTGAGAGACACGAATTCAAAGTCAAAAGTTAGTTCTTTGAAAAGCCTAATAAAATTTATAAACCCATGGCACGCTGATCAAAAAAAAAAACAAAAAACAAGAAAAGTTAGCCCTGAAAAGGACCAACAGAGTAGACTAGAGAACCCAGGAAAAAGCTCTCACATCTTTGGTCAACTGATTTTCAGAAAGGGTGCCAAGACCATTCAACAGTGAAAGGACAGTCTTCTCAACAAATAGTTTTTGGAAAACTGGATACACATACTTCAGTTCAGTTCAGTCGCTCAGTCATGTCTGACTCTTTGTGACCCCATGAATCGCAGCACGCCAGGCCTCCCTGTCCATCACCAACTCCCAGAGTCCACCCAAACCCATGTCCATCAAGTCAGTGATGCCATCCAGCCATCTCATCCTCTGTCGTACCCTTCACTTCCTGCCTCCAATCCCTCCCAGCATCAGGGTCTTTTCCAATGAGTCAACTCTTCGCATGAGGTGGCCAAAGTATTGGAGTTTCAGCTTCAACATCAGTCCTTCCAATGAACACCCAGGACTGATCTCTTTAGGATGGACTGGTTGGATCTCCTTGCAGTCCAAGGGACTCTCAAGAGTCTTCTCCAACACCACAGTTCAAAAGCATCA